TATTGGTTTAGAAACTTTGTGATTGGAGGTGAACTTCATGACAAATGAGATTTTAAAGAACTGGTCTCTTCAACACAATTAATACTTCTTCTTCTGCAGGAATAAAATCCTAAAAACAAAAAGTACAGGTCCATAAGGAACAAATTTATTCTGTAATCTGCTGTAGATTTACATTTCAATTAATCAAGCACAGCGTAAAAGATCCAAAAAACTTTTGAGTATTTCAGATAATAAAAAGTCATGATGGTGTACTAACTTGCAACTTTGACTTGTTTGTTTTCATTGGCATCTTGCATGGTAAAACCCTTGAGGTAAGGATTTTTAAGAGCTTGGTTTGGTTATTCAAAGGAAGGCTAAATGGGATCTGACCCAGCAGATATTTCATGAATTGGCACACCGATGAACGCTCAGGAGGTAAAGACGGCCTGGTTACCCCCGGCAACACCAGCAGAAGCTGACTCACAAGGGAGCAGCAATCAAAATATAAATGCACATCATTATGAACACACATACACAGTACAAAACACTTTCCTTTACTTGATCTGTCTCATTTTATTCTAAAAGGTTAAGAAATTCATAACATTATCCTATGTGTTTTTGAATGTTTTAAAGAAAGAGAGAGAGAGAGGGAGAGAGCTAATCTCTCTTGAGAAATCCTACTGTTCATTATGCTAAAGCTATCTAAATAACATATTTACTTTGTACTGAGTCACTGCCCTCTACTGTTTGAATTATGCGTGTAAAGGTGTGGTTGTAATGACAGCAAAATGAGAGCGTGATTGCACCAGATCCCAGCCTTGGAGGCTTATGGAAACTACACTTTTGACCGACCTGCCATCTGTAACACAATAATAAATAGGCTTGTGTGTCTGCCAGCACAAATACTGACGTTTTAAGGAAGAAATTCAAGTATAAAACTGATACTAATAAGGCTATTGTCTTAAAGATCTGCTATGTTTTTAGAAAAAAAAGTCTATTCAATAAGAGAAACAGAAAACATATTTAAACTTCCACACCCAACTCTTTCAGACAGAATAAGAGAAAAAAAGAAGATACACTTGGTAATTAGATTGTCTAGACGGTTTTGAAAGAAGGCATTCAAAACACATCGTTCCCCGCAGATGCTGAATATATTCTGTTTCTTTCTTTATGGACACACCTGGAAGATGCACTATAAAAAATGACGATCATGACTAAATAATCCTACAATGGTTAGAATACACCCACACATGCCTGCCAAATGCCACGTAAGATGTCAGGGAGCTTAGCATTATTTGTTAAGAGGAAGAACTGCAATAATTAAGAAACACTCTGTAAAAACAGCGTTGCAAATCAAACTCAATTACCGCGCACACAAAAAAATCGAAAAATAATTCAACAGAAAGTTTTTTTTTCATAGTTCCTAATGACTGAACTTGTTTGCGCAATCACATTTTAAGGCAAATCGAAATTTGACATCTAACTTTGACAGATTTTATACGCACAAAAAAAATGACGATCTGTTTTTTTTTTTAAACGAGCAGTTTAAATGTAACTATACTTCAGGGCAAAAGCTGCAAAGCTGTACCGTTTCAGCTGAAAAAAGCACAGCGGCTCTCAAACAGCTGCAGAGCGAGATCGTATCATCCCCAGCGATGACAAACAGATGAAGGGATGTGATGATGTGACGGCGCTCCTGCTGCAAACCAAATCTCTACCGAGGGTGCACACTGACATCAAGTGGTCAGATGACAACTGTCAGCAGGCAGATCTGGACGCAGCTGCCATGACCCCTCACAACAGGATTAAAAACCACCAAATAGGTCGCATTCACCTGCTCCGAGTGGGAAAGCTGATCTATTTACTAAGCTTTAATCTTATTTATGAAATGAACAAGGAATATATCTTATCTGATTAAAAATATTTTTTTTTGTTTAACTTTAATCAGACTTGTATACTGTAAGAGTACAACTGCTTGGCAAAAGAAAATTGTGAAGTATGAGAACAAAAAATCTGAGAAAAGTCATTGACCGTTATATGAAAACGTTATATGAAAACTTAGGAACTAAGGATTCTGTTTTAAATGTACTTTGCGTTTAGAGAGAGAACAATCAAGCATTAGGGCTTTACTCTTCAGCAAAATCTGGTTTAATCTGCTGTCACTGGGCCTCTGTAATTGTGTTGTTGTTTGTTGAAACGACAACACAACATGATGAAGAGACAGTGCCAAAAAACCACATTACAATATGTGCAAAAAAGGACAAATGATAGAGTGAGGAAACAACTATTTCTTTCTCTGTTACTAGTTGTTCCTGAGAGGTGGATTCCGTTTTATATATATATATATATATATATATATATATACTGTAAATATATATATCAGCATCTATCTCTCTTGTAACTTTATAGATATATATATAAAGTTACAAGACAGATCAATGCTGAAATAGAGGCTGAAATGCCATATTATAATAAATAGAACACAAGTTTCAACAGGTTTATGCATTTTTCATGAAGAAAAATACATAAGGAAATGAGAAATTTAGCAGCATTATCAAAACTCAAACTCTCAGACATTCTGTTGTCTACTGTCTACTGTTCTACAACAAGTAGGTCAGCAATCCGATGCAGGGGCCGGGCCCAGTAAAATTTGCATTTCTAACTAATCATAAACCTGAACTGCAGGACTGTCCAAGCTTCCTCACTCCTTATCTTTTGAATCGGTATTATATATGGAGCCTGGATTACCGCAGTCAAGCCAGATGAACTGGAAATACTGCCGAATATCAAATTGCTGTGCAGCTCTTCAGCTCTGACACAGAGCTGAGATTCACCGAAAAACAAACAGACAAGGATTTGGCAACAGAGGAAAACCAACGCATTCGGTGAAAAACAGCAGGCAGATTTGGTTGTAATTATCAAAAACAAATACTGTACTTATATTAAGATTACTATCGCTTTCTAGGGATGAAGTGAATAACATGATATAAGGAACTTGCAAGAGACGGTTGGGCCTTTTTTGCATACAGTCTAAACACTGACACAGATGAATGGCCAGTAAACAAAAAGTACAGCCAGTGAACACGGAAAGAGCTGAAATGGTATTAGCTGCACTGCGAGTGCATATAAAAAAATATTCACATGAAAAATAGTAAGCATAGACTGAGTGCCAGTAAAAGTTGCCAGCGTAAAACAGCAATATGTATTTGCATTATTTTGAATTTGTCGTCATAACTGAGGCCCTGCGATGGACTGGTAACCTGCCTCACCTCATAGAAACTGGATGGTCATAATAACATAATAACAATATATTTTATTAAAGTGGAACGTATAAAGAATAGTAAAAATCATACAAACACTGAGGCTTCTCATTAATGACAACAGTTCATTATTACTAGAACAGACACAACATCGAAATTGCCTTCTCTCAGTCTTGAGTTCTTCATAACAATATCATGTATTTTACACAACACAAGATCAAAAACATATTTCTGAGTCTCTAATATTAGTCGATCGAACTTAAAGAGAACAAAGCAGCTTTTATACAGACCACAGAAAGGTTACAGCATAATTTGATAAGCAAAAATAACCTGAATGCAAAATTGTAACACGTTTAAAAACACCGTTGCTTTCATTGCAAACTGAAATGTCGACAAAGGAGCATATTTTGGCTCCAACAATTTCTCCTTGTGACACTAAATGTGGTGCACGTTTCACCAAAATCCTTTTTTGGGAAGTGTTTTCTTTTGAAACACTGCAAAAACGTGCCTTCAGTTGTATAAAAGGAGGCTTAACATATCAGCCACTCTCCTCATACGACCTGTGGTTCTCTTATCAAATTGATTTTGGGATGTGAAAGCGAAACACAGTGTTGGAACAACACGGAGGACTCACTTCCATATACACACGAAAATTGGTGTAGATCAGGGTCTGCTGAAAATAAGACAAAACGACCTCGACAAAAAAGAAGACGCTTTCCGGAGGGAGAGACAAGAAGAACTTGTGGAAATAAAGAGAGCTCGAGATGAAAAATGAAAGATGATGTTTGAGGCTCAAGTCTTTCCTTATTTGAAACGGTCTCTTTACTTCTGGACTCCCGGGTGGCTTTCCCGAGTATTTTATGTATAATTTAATGCAATGTGCACAGATAAAACCTCCAATAAAGGCTGCACTCTCTAAGCTCTTCACAGCACATTACGTTTTATTCATCAAATTAGTTTTAGTTGGCTCCCCTGAGCCGTTTTTAAGAGGTTAAGATGAAAGGACTACATTAATTTTGCCACTAATCAGTTAAATGACAGCTCCAAGTGACAGCTATGCACTCTTTACTTGCGAAAAACTAGCCCACTGGATCTCTCTTGGAAGCCTGTTTCAGCTCTTCAATCCTCGTTTGCTCCTTGTACTGAGACACAACACACTATCTAACAGTTTTCATTCCATACTCAAATGTTTCTGTGGTACACGACAAAAAAAAGAGGCACAGAACGGCAATATTCAGCCCAAAACTGTGACCAAACCTTATTTGCAACACGGGAATTCAGCCTTGGAGAAACAAAGTAATGAACAGTGCAGATAATTAGTGCTGATATTTGTAATCCTCCAAGCTTTACTTTTAAAAAAATTAGCAACTGGGCAACTGACCCAAAAAATGGCAATTACATTTCCCAGCTTTCATACAATACAAAATACAATACAGTTTGAATATTTAAGAGGTTCTATCTGCGGGTTTGATAAATTAATTGCAACACAAAGTTCACGTGTTTGTATTTGCTTAATACATGGAATGTATTATAGACTTTTTTGGTGCAATTATTAGCATCTCTTTATAACCGTAGTTTGAATTTAAAATATTTTTCATTGTGTGATTGAGCCAAAATCTCTGGGAGGAAATGGAAACCATATGTCTCAAAGATTACGGTGACTCTGATGGGTGTAAATAAAATAAAGTCATAAACAAACATGTGCATGTGGAAGTAAAGTGCAAACAGGAGGTTTCATGTTGGTGGAAAGAAACGACTTACTTGAGCAGGGAGTGCTTTGGGAAAGTGAAGACGCCTTGAGAGATGCGATCGATAAAGTTCAGCTGGATCCTCTGGATTTGTTCACATTTCAACATGATGAAGTCGTACTTGAAGACCAGGAGCGAGTGGTCTGTGATGAGAACGAGACGCTCCTTCTCATTGTTCCAGTGATCCACCCTGAAACACCAAACAGCGAATGACCCAGTAATTCTTTATATATATATATAGATATATATGCAGAAACTAGGCCAAAAAATTGGGGTGGCTTTAAATATACAGTTCTTTTCGATTTGGAACAGATGGCATTTAACACAAGAACATGTAAATATAAAGAAAAGGGAGTGATGATAGGGACAGATTCACACAAAATGGCTTGTGAATAAATCACATTAATGTACAGTTGAACAAATCAGAATGAATATGTTTTCTTCCATCTAAATGTCCACTGAGCATACATTCATGTGAAAAAGCGAGTGCATTCTGTGGAGGTTGACACTAATGTGCTCAACAGTTGCATATTACTGCAAAAGTAAATATGCATGCCCATTAACTGAAACTAAATCCTAATTTCTCAAGTCCAAAAGACATCTTAACCTCTACTCATGGCACTACTTCCTGTTTTCTGTCAATATTAAAATAAAACAATAGTTTACTTGTGTTTCTTGCCATTTCTTGCGATGGCTTTGCTCTTCAAATGTATAAGGAATAATTAACTTAAGGCTTTTTTAAATGTGCGTAGCTCTCACCATCAAGTTCAAGCTCTCACTATCAAGTTATATTGACACTTGTCAGTCTAATTTTTTATATTGAACATTTTCTAAAGTATAAATTAAGGTGTACAGATGTTGAATGTGAGGAGTCCATTTATACAAATGAGCAGAATGTTAAGATATTGATGAAAATGCTAATAATATGAACCAGAACCCACATTATATATGAATTTGTTATTCTATTTTACAACTTCTTTCTTCAACAATCCAATTCAAGTTTCCAAATAGAAATGGAGGTTTATTGCTCTTTCAAAGGGTTGCTTGAAGACTGACATCCATTTAGTTATGAGACAATTTACAAATTAAAATTGCAAACTGCGACAACACCTCAAACATCTCCTTGAAAACAATGTCAAGAGATTGATCTTCAGTTTTTTTGTATGTGAGTTCTCCTGCGAGGTGCAGGTAAGATTCTAAAATTGTACGAGAGGCTGTTTTAAGTCCACACACAAATCGCAAAGCTGCTCAATTATATATTGTCGGAGTTTCACAATTTCACAAAAGTGCCCTTGGCAAAGACAATACAATATGCAAGCAAACCTTTGAAACGTTTTACTCGCGAAAGAAAAGCGAAATACAGAAAAGTTAATTTAACAGGAACACCTTTTAGAGCAGCTCTTGCTTCCACATCTATCATAAAAAAACAATAACATTTTTCTGCTGTAACAAATGGAATCACTAAAGAGCTAAATTTGTCTCACTGTTTCCCTCTCTATCTCTCTCTTCTCACACACACACACACACTCCCTCCCTTTTTGGTTGTACACAAACAGCTAATTTGTGGTGACACAGATTTTTTTCTCAGAGTGGCTTTCATGCTTACGGGCCACCGAGTGACTCCCAGTGAATCGCTCTTGATTGCAGCTGGCAACCACAGGCCCCCCCCCCCTCCAAAAAAAAGGCGAAAGGTTCACTGAACAGTGCAGCTGAGGCATCATGGGAAAGGTGTGGGTGAGGAGCTTCGACTTGACTAATGAAACGAGTTAACCCTGGCTGCGTACGAGTGTTTCCGGACCAACACGGAGGTGTTGGATCGGCGCGTGGGTGGGCCGATGTGCTCGGTGGCGTTTAAGGCCGACACAACAATGAGAGGTTATGCTCATTGAAAAGAAAACTGAAGGGAAATTCCTTTTTTTGTAGGTCAGTCGGCAGATTCTTTGCAATAAAAATGTCTCGAGCTCCGTCAAAGAATCTGTTGAGTGACCTCTTCGGGAGTGGACGGGGTTGACCACATTATTTGACACAGTACTGAAAGTCAGAATTTAAGTTATTATTCAAACTGAAACTTCTGGTGGCGCATCAGTCAACACAGCATAGACAAAAAGAAAATAACAAGTATCTTTCTTTTCGTAATCAATCGATTATACACCAACATTTGACATTTCAGTTTAAAATGTTTCATTCTATAGCAAAAACTGATGTCAAACGAACCTCTTTTTTTATGCAGCTCATGTTATGTGTGAGCAGATTTGGGACTTGTCGTGGTTAAAATATCCTGGGGGCACCTTTGTGCCATTTTATTACAGTTTCTGATAGTCCTTGCAGACCAACTTGTCATTATCAAAAGGGCGGGTTAAGAGTGTGGTTTAATCCACATCCATCAAAAACAATAATGATGAATTATAGCCATCCATATGCCTCTTTGCTCATTACATCAGTATTAAAGCATGTATTGTCTGTTTCTGAGCCAATCACACAGTTGGCAGTCTTTTTCTCACTCAGCAGGACACAGCCATGTCCAGCCACAACAGAAATTGGTGTGTATATATATATATAGGCTACATGTTTAATGAAATGGATTAAGAACATGTTATAACCATTTCTAAATCTGCCTGTGACTGATTTGCTTTAATATTAATTGATGTTTACAACGGTATTCTTCATTTCAGAGGATCGCTGTGGCTTACACATCAAATACACATTTTCTGGTTATTCATGTAACAACTCTCTCTTTGTCATCATGCTGGCAAATATAACGGAATACGGTTTCATAAACTCACTCTGCCATCAGCCAGACGCTGTGAACACTTCCATCCACATCCTTAATCACCAGGGCTTCGATGTCTTTTATGGCCTGATCCAGAGTGCCAGGCTGAGGAAAAAGAAATTCATGGGTGTCACTTTCTAATTTTCCATTGTGACAATCACAGCATGTGCAAATAAAGCTTACAGGGTAATCTCGGAGACAGACATGCAGCTGGGATTGGTAAAATGTCAACATTTCCCCCCACTCAAAAAATAAGAAAGACAAAAACAAAAGCATGACGCAGAGGCTTTTGTAAATGAAGAAAGCCAAAGACATCAAAATCTGAGTAAATAAGGCATTTGTATGGATTCTAAAACATAGTTCTGTCAGCCATACTTTTCCCCCATTTTTTAAACAGTGTTGTCTTGTCAAGTTGGCAAACATAAAAAAACATTTGGAGTTCATACCGAGGACTCCTGACAATCTCGTGGTAATCTGAGGATTGTGTTGAGCTAGCATTGCAGTATGGGAAATATTTCCCCGCAATCCATCAAAAACCTTCAACAAACAGCTCTTTTGGAGTGAGGAATCCCTCTGACATGATGCACAGGAGTAAGTTAATATTAACTACAGGAGAGATTACTGATAACACAGTAAGTGTGTTACAGATTCTTTCTCTGTCGATGTTGCTTTCAGTGTTTACATTTTTAACGCTGGCGGCTTCAATCTGATAAGCTTTGTCTATCTACAAAACACGATGACAGGATAGGGTCAGGCTGCTTCCCCATACACAATGAATTTTCAACCAACCGAAACCGTCCAAAAATGCTTCTCCGAGATTGCATTCCTCATATTGTTTTTCTAAAACCAATCAGAAAGAAAAAATGTGTTCCGCTAATGTTATGTGTGAGAACTCAACCAAGGCAACTGGCGAAATTCCAATGAGGGTCACTGTCACATTGTTAAAATAATGTATCATAGAGCTTTCAATGAAAACTTTGTAACCCAGTTAAATAATTTTACCAGACCAGGAAGTGACACAAGTAATATATTACACTGTTATTATCTTATTGACAGGATATATGTTGGTTATCCCACCTCATGAAGGACTGTAAAACCATGAGAATGATGTTTGCTCATATGAGACTACATCAAACACGACGCCAGACTGAAGGCGTATCGTATAAACCGTCTAGGTGGCTATTTAAGTTTAAGTCTATATTACCGTTCTCTGTTTTTGGATCCTAATTAAGAGTCTTCCCAAGATCGCTGAGATAAAAGCAGCAAAGAAGAAACAATGTAAACTAAAAAGAATAGCTAGCTCATCCAATGGTGGCCATGGCTACCTCAGACACCTAGTGGAGCCATTCAGAGGGCCACATTTTGAATGGAGCACAAATGTATTCACCGATAGTAAAAGAAAATCAGCAAACAAAAAATGAAAAATAACCGTTAAATACAATAACTCCATATCTAACCTGGCCCTATCCCAGCTAAACCCATCTAAGCACTCAAGGATTTTGTTTTGATTTTGAAAAACGAGTAAATCCTTCACTACAAAGGAAGAAATCCCTGAGAATCTGTTTCAATTTGTCGATAACAGTACTAGTTCAAAAGAAAAAGTTCAACAAAAGAGAAAACTGCAATAAATATGAATAAATGGAATTAAGACAGATGCCAAACTGCAGCCCAAATGAACAATCCCTCCAAGAAAACAAGCTAGAAATCAAGAAAATATAAACAAATGGCTCAAACTGAGAAGGCCAGTGCATGTTTTTAGTCATTTTGAGTGTTCCATACCAGATCTTTACGAGCTTTTCAAACTTATCAGCTAAACGGAGGACCAGCCCCTGTATTCATTTGAAAAGTCAAAGGGCATAGGGTGCAACGCCTAAATATATATAAGAAAGCTAAACGTGGGAAAGAATAGGAAACTAATTTATACTGTAGTTATGTACAACACAGGTAAAAAATGAAGTAGTTTGTGCAACTCCAATGACAGTTATGCTCTCTTCTTGGCCACCTACTGTTAAAAATTGGCCTCCTGATCCCTGTAGCTCAATAATCCTGTCCAACAAAAAAATCACTTAACAGAGATACTTTGGTAACACAAGACGATTCAAACCCAAATCACACCCAGCAAATAAATAGCAAGTGTTACAAATTTTGATCATCTGGAAAAATACCCTGAGAAATATAGATATACACTCAAATTGAGAGAATCTTTACATGATAAATCTAATTTCTAATCTACATATCATCCAAACAAGTTGGCATGAAGGATCCAAATTCGATATTTTATGAAACGTATTCCCAGATACGGCTGGTCTTTACCCGTAACACGAAGAACTTCCTGATTTTAAAGTGTTCCAGGCAGGAGTCCTGCGTCTGCGTGTGGCCGGGGCGCTGGGCCGGTGCGCTGGGGCTGACCGCAGCGCAGTCCGTCTGCGCCTCGGACTGCGCCTCCTTTTGCACCTCCAGATCCTCTTGCGCCTCCTTTTGCGCCTCCTTCTGCTCCTCCACCTCCTCTTGCGCCTCCTTTTGCTCCTCCTTTTGCGCTTCGGCCTGCGCCTCGTTTTGCGCCTCCGTCTGCGCCTCTTTTTGCTCCTCTTTTTGCTCCTCCTTTTGCGCCTCCTTTTGCGCCTCCTTCTGCGCCACGGCCTGCACCTCCTTCTGCACATCCACAGGTGGTTCAGAGCCCGTCGGTTCGCTGGAAGGGGGGGAGATCTGGACCGGCTGCTCCTCACCCGGCGCTCCTTCTTCCTCATTCGCCATATCGCAGTTTTAAAATAACCTCGAGAGGAAAAAAGCGCAAGAGTTTATCCAGTAAATGTTGTTGCGGGTGGCTGACCTTCTCCCACGCGAAAAGGCTTTTGGGAAGGCTTTCCCACCGGTGGCAGATGGAAGGTTTAGAGTAAATCGAAACTTTGGTCGCGTTTTAGAAAGTGAAAACGCAAGATTTACCGGTTGTTGCCCAGGACGTAGTGTATGTCGGAAGCTGGATAAGATGACGGCAGCAACAGGTGCATAACTTCCTTGTTCCGTGTCCTTATGTGTGTGTGTACGTGTGATTTTTTTGTTTTTTCAAAGGGCGTCTCGGTGCGCAGCATCCCAGTGGTGCGCACGGGCCCAGGTAGGATTACAACCTGTAAGTTTCACCCTCAGATTTGTAGAAACCATGAACCATGAACCCTGGGACTGTGAGCCAGATTCATGTTAACATTCCTTAAAGTTTTTGTTGCATGTCAGGAGCATTTATTAAAGAATGACACAAAGGATTTTATGAGAGTTTTTATTATTTACTGCTGACTGCAGGATTATTTCTTTTGAAATCATCCATATTACCTTTGATTGTGATGGTTTCTGTGAGAAGAGGGTTAGTGCAGACAGTGTGTGTTGGACACAAGAATGTTTTTCTACTTTCTTTGAAGGAAATTGAAGGACCTTTGAAGGGCCACTAGGGACAATCATGTAAGACAATAGATTCATTTTAGTTTTTGAGTCTTTTATAACACTGTCACAAAATGTAAATAGAAAAAAGGAATAGAAGGGACTGTACAGTACAGTGTCTTACAACACCCACTAAATCTAAACATTCTGCAACCTTTTTAATGTGCAGTGTTACATATTCAAGTAACTATTAAGCAGTGTGAAGAAATCAGACGCGATTATTTTTAATCCAACATACTGAAAACTGAAATTTGAAAGGAAACTTTCATAATATCAGACACTTATATAATATAAACTGGTTAGCAATATGAACATGTTCAACATTTTAGAAAATAGGCAAATATAAATTGAAGTATAGTATGTAAGACAACAATTTTAATGAGCTTGAAAGCTGGTTTGAACATTTTTATTCTTGAACACACCATGAACGCTGACAATAGTTGCCTTATAATAACTCTGATGAATGAATTATCTTTAGGAATAGTGGCTTCTTGGAGGACTTTTCAAAGTTCATTTTCGAATGGTGGCTGCCTTTGAATTTATTTTTATTTTTTTATATCACAATCCTACACCTTGATTCAACATAGTTAAGGTTAGACTTTAGGGGAGGATTCATCACTTTGGTCTAATTTTCTTTCTTGAGTTAACTTTTAAATACTTCTTTTTGATAGTTGTTTTGGCTTGCCACGTCTTCTTTATCATAAATGTATGTTCTGTTTTATACAAAGGGCAGCCAGAACTGTATATTTATATATATGTATATTTATACCAGTCAATGAATACATTTGATTTTAGTCACAAGATTAAAAACGAGGAGTTGTAGCCTTGGGCTATGTTTTAAACCATACAATCTCAAATGTTTACTGCTGCTTGGATGCAATAAAAGGAGATTTGTAGACTGCAGCCTTTTGTAACGTACTGTTTATATTACTATTGACAGATTTAGCTTTTTTTTTTTTAAATTCTATCGCTGTGGTGAATATTCCAATCTTGAGAGTTTCCTAAAATACCATAAAATAGCATTGATGATTTAGCTGCGCGACGACACAATCAAGCAATTGTCGGATGAACCAGATCACTGAAAGCAAAGATGTTTTCCTCCCACAAATCCTCGAATAGCAGCAGCATCTTTGCATCAGTCGGTACGAGGGCTAATGCTGTCTGACAGACCATACGGCCGAGGCCACTCGTTCTCAATAACCACTCGCTCAGACAGCTCTCCATTGTGTTGTCGGGAGTTCTGAATTCAGTGATCATCTCCAGCTGTCACTGGCATCTCCACAGATTTCTCAAAGTGTCCTAATGCTTAGCTACTCCCACTGACTACTGGCGGAGATGCTCTTTAGTATTGTATGAATGGCTTGTGGCTTTCAGACCACATCTCATTTGTTTTTTTATTGTTGTCGTCTTTTAAGTGAATGTATTTTTGGGTCCGCCGTCAAGTAATTACTTCCAATAAATCCAGAAGCGCTTTCCTTCGGAGACAGTTTAACAATTGGTTCTTTTCACGGCGCAAAAATTCCTTAAAAATTGGGATTGAATCTTAGATTCTCGTTGCTGTTGTTCAGTTTGAATCTATTTCGTTTTATTTTCTGACGACCGCAAACTAAGAAGACCTGATCAAAAATAAATCACAGGCATGGTGATAATTTTAAGGGCATGCATCAAGGGATTTCAGTTACACTGTGCTAATAGTAAACCAGTGAACTCGAGAACCTTTTGCCCTGTGATGTGTCACATCATCCGGGGGAGTAAAGATAAGAGTAATCTAAATAGTTGTATTTAGGCCAAGTAATCAACCCCGCATATCTGGAAATGTTCACTGCTGTGTTCATTTCAATTTGCGCTTCTGCACAAAACATCTTCTTAAGTTTCTGACTCAGCCTCTCCGTGGTGTTTTTTGTGGCTCTCCAAAGACACAAATGTTTATCAGAGCTGGAATGTAGGATGACTTAATAATCGGTTGGAAAATACATGTCATAATCCCGGTGGATCTTTTTAGGTGTAACCGCACTGTGCAGAGTTCATTGTGATGGCACAATGAGTCGTGAAGCATGTGTTGTAGCGAAAGGCGTACAGTGTTTGCAAGTAACTTAATATCATTTCATGGTTTATTATGTGTTTCCTGTAGTGAAAGCATGTCTAAAACCAAATAGTCATAGTAGATTCTGTGGTTATGACTGCATAAAAAGAGCGAGTGAAAAGAATAAATACAGCGTGGGCCTCACAAGGGCTTATAATGATAACTATAAAATGTTTCAGATGGAAAAATCACTAATTAATTATGACATTTGTGTAACGTGTAAAACTGAATCTGCTCCAAAAGGATTAAGAAAGTTATTACTAAGTGATGACTAAGTCTTTGCACCTCTGTTTGATGCTGTGGAACATTAAGGTGTGTGTTAACACGATACAGAGAACGGAAGACACCAGGAATGATCTTGGGCAAGCTATTGCTCCTACCACTTTATCTGAGGAGGGGGCTAAAAGACTTTTTCAAACTATTTTGAGTCCATTAATTTACGAGACTTGTTAACTTTCAGAGTATTAGAATGTCCCAGCAAGTTCACCTAAAGGCCAAACTGCAATGCTTGGAGAAATTGCCAAAAAACCCAACAAAAAAACAAAAAACAGCAAGATATCAGACTCTACAGCCCTTAGTTAGCATGTTAAATGCTAACGCACATGCACAACAAAGAAAAAGAGAGGCTGGGATAGAAATGGTTACACATAAAAGCATCTTCTTTTAAAAAGGGCTGCATAGCTTAAGTTTGTAGACTTCATTCTTAACAAACTGAAAAGAAAGTTGCTCTGACAGACAAGGTGAAAGTGGAAAGGTTTAGTCATAAAGCATGTTGCCAGTCTACACAGAGACAAACAACCACACCCGCTCACATTCACTCCTAGAAACAATCTAGAATCATCAGTCGACCTGGCATCGATGTTTCTGGGAGGAACCCAGTAGGGAACACACACATACTGTACATGGAGAAATCATGCAAGCAAATACAGAAAGGCCCTCGGCACCCAGGGATTCAAACTACCACACTCACCACCATACCAGCATGCAGCTCTCTCTTTGGAGAAAACCTAACATGGCATAAACACCTCATACAAGCTAAATCATTATGGCACAAATTAAGAGTTTATAAGCCTTGAATCCTTACAGAGAGATTTAAAACTAATGCAATAATGATTTAGATGTTACAGTTTTGCCATAAAAAAATGCCAGAGATGACATAGGCCTGGAGTCTTTATGTTGAGGTTGGCTTAACATTATAACCATAAAAAAAAGATTTGTTTTAAAGCTTCACTCATTTTGAAGATTGATGTTTCATGCATTCATTCAGGAGACACAATGAGTACAAGCAGGCATGTCAGTCATCTGGCACATTCATTTTTTCTGGTGCGTTATCTCTCTCTCCCACACTTGTTTGCAATTCCAGCATTTGAGCTGGCAAGGCTCTGCTGGCTGGGGCTAATCGCTGGAGAGGCCTGCACTAAATTTCAACCCCGGGCAAATACCTCGACACTCCACTATACCCGCAGTCAGAGAGACCAGCGAAGCTCTGCAAGTCTCTCACAGAAAATTAAATCAGTACAAATGGGCACCCACAATCATTATTATTATTATTTTATTGCTTTTCTTGAAAATGAACCATGGGTTTTGAACAATGGGTGTAGTCTTTGCAGTTAAAAGCTATTGGCCAGAGGTTGTCGGGGTGGGAATTTGTTCATATTTATTGATGCACATTCATGGATAAGGAATAATTTACTGTCTTACTCTATGCAAGTATAGAAGAAGTCTAACTTTAGTATTTTTTCTGTGGTAAAATACTAAAAACATACACTTTGTAAGTGACATAGATTAATTCTTGCCTGATTCTTTGCTACTGGTTTAGGACTTTGATTTACTGTGGAAATAGTTTGCTGAAGTCTGTCAGATTGACTTTGTAACTCAGTTTAAATTCCTAAATGTTGAAACTAAATTGGGAATTTAATTATTCATGTTCTGTGCCAGCCATTGGCAACTTGTGTAGTACAAATCAATATCTTCCCAGTCTCTTATTGAAACACACAATGGAATTTGTGTTTTAATATCTTGTTAGGGTTAGGGAATTTCAGCTTTGACTTTAACAACTGCTGTGCAATTGTGTTATATTTATTGACCTGTGTAATATGTGTACTGTGTGTGAGTTTTTTTTTTCCATCAATGATTGTATATATTTTAATCACCCAAATCTCTACGCTGTGTTGCTTCCTTTTATATTTTCTTGCTTTTGCTGTACTTTATGCACCTTTTCCTCCTTTTGAATTCTAACTGA